TCAAAATTATTGACAAATACTGTAAGATGATATATTCTTCTCTGCTAATGTTGTGATATGTGATTAACATGTTATTGCTTAATTTTTTTTTTTTAAATAATAGGAGTTGGTAAACAATTTCTGGAAGAAGGTTCATTCAACAAAAGAGATCTTAAAATCAAACTGGGATGCTCAAAGTTTTGAAAAAATCGATAACAAAACTACAAAAAAAATAGCCATTTTCTTTGATGAATCTTCTGCCCTTCTTGGTATGATTTTGTTTCTATTTTAGAACAGGTTGAGATTTATTCTTATATTAAGATTTTATTTTTTTAATAGATATTAAAATAAATCAAGCTTATAAAGATAATCAAGATAATGATAATAAACCTTTTCGAGCAATTCGCCGAGCTTTATATTTCTTTTCAAAATATGCTTATGGCATTCTTACTGATACAAATTCTTCTGTTGCTAATCTTGCACCATCAAAAGATAAAGACAGTTCAGTAAGTATACACAAAATAATATTTTTATAGTAAAATGTCAGACTTTACAAGTTATTAAAGTTTTTTAATTTTTGGTTTTATAGGCAAGGAAATATGATCGTAATATTCACAAACCATTTATTTACATAGTAACACAGGATTGCTTAAGGTATGATTTCTTATCACTTTTATTTGAAATGATTTATATGCATTATTATTTGCTTCTGATAATTTTTTTTTATAATTTGGTTTTATATAGTGGCATAGATCAGATTCCATGTGATGAAGATATCTCAGCACATGATATTATTCAGTTTGGTAGGCCTCTTTGGGCATCTAATTGGATAGCTAGCAAACACTCAGATAATCAATTTAAATTTCGTGATGTAATAAATCTTGCAAAAACCAAACTTCTTGGAAGTACCTCTAGTTGGGATAGAGGTAAATTTAATAGCCAATGGAAGAGGACTGTCACTCTTGCATTAATTGCATGCACTGCTGCTTTATATGTCTCTCCAGCATCAAGCATTGCACCAGAACTTGTTAGAGCACATATGGCTACTCTGATTGCAATTGATAAAGATTATGAAAATTATATTATCACATATCCTTCTGAACCTATACTTTCAGAGGCTTCATTGGAATTAATGTCAGAGGGAAATATTTGGAAAGAAGTTCTTCAAGAATTAGATTTCACTTTTCGATCAGGTGGTATTCTTGATGCTGGCAGTCAAGGTGAACTTGCTGTAAGGTTATTATTGTTGAATGCTTGGCATCATTTGATCCTCTCAAAAAAGTCAATTAATTCTAAGGTATGTATAAGCTAACATTTTTTAATTATCAGTTTTATTGTATTTTCATTCTCATTATTATATATATAGGTGGTATTTTCTTCTCGATTTTCAGTTATTGATTTCCTTCAAGAACTTTTTGGTGATGCATTTCCAAAAGAAAAGTTTTCACACTTCAATGATTTTATGTTAGGATTTACACATTTCATTCCAGTCACATATGTACCAGTTAAAGAAGATCTTATTTCAATCTATAAACGACGTGGTGCTGTGTTATGTAAAAGAAATCAAAAAGGCATAGATTTAATTATTCCAATTATGTGTAATAAAAATGTAAAAATAGGAACAATATTAATTCAGGTATAATTCTAAATATTATTCTTAGTATTCATTTTATTTTTACATAATTGACATGATGATATTATTTATAGGTTAAGAATCATGCACACAGAGACAGTAAAATAAAATATGAACTTGGATCTCCACTTTCATCAAATATTATATTTGAAGATAGTTTAGCCTATGAGTTAAAAGATAACAATTTAGGTTTATTACTACATGTTGGTAAGAATATCTTTCCTCTTATTTAATATTATATTGATATCCAAAATTTTTATGAATTACTTTAATAAATTATTTTTATTCTTTTAATAGGTTTGGCATATATTAATAAATCCTCATTAGAGACATATTACTATGATGAAGAACATAAACAATTTAATAATCCTTCATCATATGACCTTCGTAGTATATCTAATTTTACATATGACATATCCAAACATAATCGACTTGTTGCTTGTGGCTTAGATTCTTTTAACATCACTACAGAATATAAAATAATCTTTCAAAGTCTTTTACATTCATGGACTGATCCAATTCGATTTGTTAAAGAGAAAAATAATGTTGAACAATTTTTATATCAAATGATGCCTTGTACATATTCCAGAAAAAGGTAATGTCATCTTTATCTTTATTTTTTAGTTATCAACATCCATTTATATTGTATATAATACAGGTTTTATGATGATGATAAGGAAGAAAGTTATAAGAAAAGTAAATAAGAATAATAGAATGAAAGAAATTTTAAATGATTCTAATTTTATAATACTAGCTTTTACAAATTCATTGTTCCATTTTACTGATTAATTTTTTAATAATAAAATTTAAAATTATTCTTGTTTAATGAATATTTGTTTATTATAAAGACATATATAAATTTAAATTTTATAATTCTATAATATAGTATATCTATAACTTAAAGAAATTTACTTTTTGTAATAACAAGTATAAATAAGAAATTTGGTTTTTATATTAAAAAAGTATATTAATAACAATTATTTATTAAGAAGCATTTGATAATATTAAACTTTTTTATTTTGAAATACTAATATTAATTCTGAAAATCTGTGATTGCTTTTTTAATATGTTTGCATTAAAATAATATAATGTAAATATAAAATTATATATATAGAATTATAGATATATAAAAATTAATAATGAAAATAATAAATCTACTGAATATAAAAAAGCAATTAATTTTTTAGAAAAAGAATGTGATTATTATGATTTTTCATGAATTTATAAGAAATAATTTGCAAAATTAAGAGAATCTTTTCAAGTTTTTTTTAAGTTTGAACTAGATTAATAAGCACTAGTAGATACCTTAAAAAGCAAATCAGATCTAATAAAAGAACTTTCTATCATTAAGATTACAATATATTTTTTGTCAAGAAATTTAATTCAATATATTTGGAATTAATAGAATCTTAATGCTATAATATGCAATGCAGTTTATTATCATCATTGATCTAATCTACTAAATTCTGATCAATCAATTTCTTAAACTTCATAAAGGGTCCTATAGGTAAGATATAAGATTGTATTTATTACAAACTAATTAGCAAAAGTCAAGTTTCTGTCGATCTAATTTTTAAAAATCAACTGATAAATAATAGTTTAAAGTTCAAGAATTTATGGTATTATTAAAAGAATATTTCAACAAAAAACTAAAATGATGATTAATAAAAATATTATTGAAATAGTAAAGAATATTCTGTAAAAGTCTATGGTTTATCAAGTTTAAGAAGAAGTATTAAAAGAATAATTCAATCAATTGTATTCTTACCAGCTAAAATGAGTTATAAATTGATACATAAAGACTTTCTAGCTGGTCTTGAAGAAGATAGCAAATTGAAATATGATACTTTCAAAAAATTGTGATATTAATTAATACTAGAAATTTAAATTATGAGTTCAAGTACTGATTTATATAATATTTGTTAACATTTTAGAAATGGTTTACATTATAATGCTTGTTAAAAGAAAGAAAATTGTTAAAAGATTTAAAAAATCTGTTCAAGACCAAATCAAAAAAAAATTATTATAATAAAAATATCAAATTAGTAGAAGAATAAAAAGAATTAATTGATTAACATTATTCAAAAAATAAATCATAATATTATAGTATTGATGTTATTGTTCAATATAATTACGATTGAGTCTAAAAAATATTCATGTATAATATTTAGATTAATAAGTAAATAAAATCTATTACCTTAGTTCATATAAAGTTTGATTATTAAGAAAACATTAAATTAAATTTTATAATTCCTAAATATACTAAATTTAAATGTAATATTATAAGATAGGAAAAGTTTTTCAATACTTAAATATTAAAGCTATTTTGAAAATTTATTTTAAAAAATTACCAAATATATAGAAATATCAACACTTTTTTTTGAAATATCTAATCTTAGTATATTAAAAGTTCAAAAACGTACTAATGGTTTTTTTTATTGAATTCAATTTATTGAAAACTAAAAAAGCAGATATTTTTAAAAAAATTAGAACCTTAACTATTTTAGTATTAACTATTTCCTTTGGATTACAAAAAATAAGAATATATTTATAATAATATTTGCTTATTTATGAAAAATAATGAATGTAAAGATTTTACTTATCTAAGGTTATTTTATGCTAGAAATAAATAAAATATTTAAAATAAAATCGCTTCTATGACTTTATCACTCATTAATTTATTCCTTACTATCATTAAGTTTAATAAGTTTAATTTTTTGAAAAATATTATTAGCTTTTTCTACCTTTAAAGTAAAAAAAACTAAAATAATTTATATATTTAATATATCCTCATAAAAATAAAAAAAAAGCAAAATTATGGTAAATATCATAAAAGTATAACAAAAAGTAAATAATGAATTATTAAACAAAATTGAGGATTTATAAAAGTAACTAACTGAAAAAGAAGAAAGTTTTAAGTTAGAAATTTGAAATATAATGTTAAAGAATATAAAGTTGATACTTTATCATTCTTATAAAGATTTAAATGACCTGAAAATATATGAATAGTTATTCAAAAAGGAATTTGACTAAATTTGAAAGGGTAATTTTTAGTGATAAATTTACTCTTGAGAATGTTGTTAATGTTGTTGAAAGTTTTGCTAACAAAATATGATATTATAAGCATTTTTTTGATTTTTATTTTAAGGAAAATAAGAAATTAAAAGAAAAAAATACTATTTTAGAAAAAGAAAATGTTGAGTTAGAGAAAACTAATCAAAAATTAAAAGAAAATAAGAGGAATTAAAAGTAAGAATAGAAAACATCTGAAATTTAAATGCAGCATAATATTATGTAGATTTATGATTTTCATAATATTTCAAAGTATTATATTATAAAATTATGCGAGTTTACGAATTCGTAAAATTTATAAAACATTACAGTAAAATGTTATATAGGATTATGGAGCATGGCGAACTTAATTCTAATTGGTTGATTTTAAAATGTTTATCACATATAAAATTCATATAAAATATTGATCATCTAATTTTAAATAGATTCGCAGCCACAGAGATGAATTCACAAGGGTTGTTATAAAAAATTTATAAAATATAAGTTATGCTTTATAAACTTTCAAAATAATTTGGTAGTCCACAAGGTAATTTAGAAGTTAGCTAAGAAAAGTTTTTTTAATTGTCACTATAAACAGCTTGTTAAAATAGAAATAAACGTAAAATAGTCACATAAGCCTCCATAATGAAGAAATACCTCTTTTAAATAAAAAAAAAAGGAAAAAAAAGGTCTAGTATTGTAACTTTGAGGGTTAAGATGATGTCGTTTACAACTATGAATAATTTGGAATATCCCTTATATCAGACAAAGTTATAATCTCAAGTTCAAGCTAACATTTAGATTTAGTCAGCAAAGCATTATGCCAGAAACATTATAATTGATTAATAGTAAATGCAAAAAACTAAAAACTAACATCTATTCACATTCCAAATACAATTTATATAGGTTTACAACCAGAAATAATAAAGAAGAAAGAAATTCAAGAAGTCTTCAGAATAGCTAATTAAATTTTTTAAACTACAATCAGATGTGAAAATGTATTATTATTGCTTATACGAAACTGATAAAGATCCTGATTATATTAATATATTAGAATACCAATCAGTAAAAGAAAGGATTTTAAAAAAATTTAAGACAGATTAAAGGTAGATCATATATTATGTGTAGTGATATTATTTATTCTGAAGCCAAATTTCAGGAACTAAAAGCTGTATATAATAATGTATATGCAGAACTTAATAAAGCAAAATTAGATAAGTAAATCATTTTTTGTTCATAGTCACATTTTGAACTTCTTTCTTATATAATTATTTTTTTTAGATTTAATTTCTCTTAATAAGAAGATTAAACTAATAGTAGGAATATTGTATATAAGGCAATGAGTATACAATGAAAGACCCATTTTAGATTCAAAAGAATTTACAAAAATTCTTAAAAAAGCTGAGCTATCATTAAAAGGTTTTTTTAATTAATTAGTAGTTAGAACTAACCTGTAAGCTAAGAATAATATAACTAACGAAAAGAATAAAAGAAGATTGGTTTTATTTTGTTATTTTTAGCATGACTTAATAATAAGTTTATTAATAGAATCAAAGCAGAGGTTAGATTTTTACTAAATGCATCTGGAACTTCTTTATCATCTATAGAGATACTAGCTAATGCAGGTTTGACAGTAAAGTATATAACTATTACAATAGGGTTCCTCAAAATCGAATTGAATCAAATATTTAAGCAATTTGAATTTGATTTGATTTTTTCAAATCGAATCGA